ATTCCTTATTACTATCTCGGTACATCGGTTTGCTTTCTGGATCCGGACTCGTTGTTTTGTTCCTTGAATTGTACGCCATAGTATGGGTACAACTTCGTGTGGTACGCCAGAATTTTATGGCAAAGTCTTACCCGTCGTTTGTGAATGCTCATTGCTCGAAGAGGAGGAAAAGCAATGAGTAGAGAACCTTGGCACATACCCGGTAGAGGAAAGCGGGCAGTGCAAGGTTTCCCGTAATGTATGATTCGAACTCGGACTTTGGCATGAGCCCGGGAGGTGAAGGACGGGGTGATGCACTGTCTTCGTTATGTTTACCGATTCGATCTCTTGGTTCTTAATATTTATTGGTATTCTAACGTTGCTGAATATATTTGGTCGTTGATCCTGTCTTCTTGTTGTATTGAGCATCAATGGTATGGTATATTATGGTGATTTGAATATGGAATCATATGATCTTAGCATCCGATACGTAATTGTTCACTCAGTTTCTTGTAAGTCTCGGTTTGCATCTGGATGATGTCTTGAACTCTTTTATTGATAAGAGTTTATTATGTATGTTTATAAACATGTGCGATATTGATATGTAATACTTAACTATTTAACTCGCTAAGCGTTGGCTTATAATTTAAGTGGCAACCTCCCTCAGGAAAGAAGAAGGATAAAAAGAAAGAACCCGTTGTCTGACTCGAAGATTTATCGGGGAACTTGAAGATTTCGATCTTGCTTTTGGTAAATAATAGCTTATTACCGTATCTCATAGTTGTAGTAAGTGTAGCTTATATATAGTCTTATTCCGATTATAAATATGTCCCGTATTCTTTTGCTACTTAATTCGAGTTGTAAGTAAAAATCCGTTATATCTGGTTTGGAATTGTGTTTTGGGTGGTTTATCACTAAAATAGAACAGATATTTCGAAGTTTTTCTAGAAATTAATATCCCATATTTTGAGGTTAATTAATGTTATACCCAGATCTGTGTGTTTCAAAGGGTTGGTCCATTTTCATCGCCCCTGGACCAATTCATCGCCTCTGGTCCATTTTCATCGCCTCTGGACCAATTCATCGCCTCTGGTCCATTTTCATCGCCTCTGGACCAATTCATCGCCTATGGTCCATTTTCATCGCCTCTGGACCAATTCATCGCCTCTGGACCAATTCATCGCCTCTGGTCCATTTCCATCGCCTCTGGACCAATTCGCCTTTGGACCAATTCATCACCTCTGGTCTTCTTCCAGACTTAGTCATTTCAGCAGCATCTGGTCCATCG